GTTTGTAGAGACAGGGTCTTGCTATGTTGCCCAGGCTGGTCTTGAACTCTTGGCCTCAAGCAATCCTCTCTCCTTGGCCTCCCAAAGTGCTGGGATTGTAGGGATGAGCCACCACATCTGGCTCTTCTTTGGTTTCAATATGCTCACTTGACGTAATAAAACCCTGCCTCCTCTATGCCTGAACTGGTATGGCTGCTAGTGGCTGGGGGAAAACACACAAGCTCTCACAACTGTCTCAAAAAAGGTGAGAGAGTCTCACAAAAGAACAACTGTCTCCCTTTTAATTGTTGGCCATGAGTCTCAAATGAACCCTTCATGCTCCCAGGAAATCAAAATTCCCTAATCCATTCTCAGTCCCACTGTCCCAGAGGACTATTTCGTTTCTTCTCTCTTCTCACACCCCTGAAATTCTCCGTCCTCATTCTCAGCTGATGACCTTATTTTTTACCTCACCAAGACACATGAAGCCTAGAAGAGAGCTTTTACCACCACTACATCTACTGGAATACTGGCATCTGTTCCCTTACACTCAGCTGGCCTGTGTGTTAACTTACCCATTGGTGACTTATCCATGCTTCCAACTCGATTCCATCTCTACCCACCCCCACCCACCATCACCATTTCTCTCCCTATTGTGTAATTCCCATCAGTATGTAAACACGTTGTAATTCCTCCAAATTTAAATAGACTTCTCTTGACCACAATTCCTCCAACAGCTTTCCCTATTTATTTGTTTCTGTTTGCAGCACATTCCTTAAAATAATTGATTATACCCTGTCTCCAGTTCCTATTCTCCCAGTCTCTCTCCAGCTCTGCTCTGGCTTTTCCCCCTATCATTCCACCATACTGTGCTTTTCTGGGTCACCAATGACTCTGACATTGCTCCATGCAAGGATGGATCCTTAGTCTTTATTTCCAACTCGATGCACTTTCTTTTCTTGGCTTCTGGGTACTGACCTCCCCAGGTTTTCCTCCTACCTCAGTGGTCACGGGCTGGAGTGCAGTGGCGCGATCATTGCTCACGGCAGCCTCGAATTCCTGGGCTCAAGCATTCCTCCTGTTTCAGCCTCCTGAGTAGCTGGGACCACGAGCACACATCATCATGTCCAGCTAATTTTTAATTTTTTGTAACGATGGAATCTCACTATGTTGCCCAGGTTAGTCTTCTTTCAAGTTTTTTTTTTTTCTTTTTTGACATCTGATGTTACCTATTGGTTCTGACCAGGTTGGTCTTGAACTCCTGGGCTCAGATGATTCTCTAGCCTCGGCCTCCCAAAGAGCTAGGATTACAGGCATGAGCCACTGCTTCTGGCCTAAATTTTTTTTAATTTAAAGAGCACCATCTATTTTTTGAATAGATAAAACACCTACATGGTTAAAAATTTGAAAGATCAAAACAGCATACAATGATAACTTTTCCTTCCACTCCTATGTCCCCACCAGAGACCACCAATATTTCTTGTATATCTTTCCAGTGATCTTTTATACACACGTAAGTGTCATATGCCTACTCCTGTTATGTATACAAATAGTAGCATTTTATTTTATTTTATTTCTTTCATTTTTGTGGCAGAGCCTTGCTGTGTCACTCAGGCTGGAGTACAGCGGTGTGATCATAGTTCGTTGCAGCTTCGACCTCCCAGGCTCAAGCCATCCTCCCAGATCAGTCTCCCAAGTAGCTGGGACTACAGGCTCGTGCCACCACACCCGGCTACAAATGGAAATGGTAGCATTTTATACATAACATTTTATACATTCTGTATCTTACTTGTTTTCACTTACCATGCTGTCTGTAGTAAAGATTGAGTGGTTACATTGTATTTCATCATTTGGATATTCCGTAATTTACCCGAAACTTTGGTACCAGATACCTTTCAGAATGCAGGATTCCAATATTTTGTTATTATAAACAATGCTGCAATGACTAACCTACATGTGCCATTTATTTCATATGTGAGAAAATGTGGGCTAAATTCCTAGAAGTTGAATTGGTGAGTGAAAAGGCATATGCATTTGTAATTTTGGTTACCTGTCACCGAATTGCTCTCTGTAGGGTTTGTACCAATATACCTTCCAAAAAGCAATGTGTGAGAGTGATTCTTTCTCTACGTTTTCAGCAACATATTATTTTTGCCAATCTTACAGGTAAAAAGATGGCATTTTATTTAAATATTTTCCTTATTATGAGTGAAGTTAAGCCCCAAAGCCTCAAAGCAATTTATGTTTTCTTTTCTGTGAGCCATCTATTTACAGATCATTGGTTTTGTCTGTATTTTCCAATTCCAGTGTGCTTTGAGAATAAGACACACATGAGTTTGGGGCAGGGGAGTGGGAATTAGAAGGTCAGAGGAGTCATCTGGCTCTCCTGGGAACTCTTCCGATTATTAAAATAAGAATAAGAGGGCTGGGCGCTGTGGCTCATGCCTGTAATCCCAGCCCTTTGGGAGGCCGAGGTGGGCGGATCCCTTGAAGTCAGGAGTTCAAGACTAGCCTTGTCAACATGGTGAAACGCCATCTCTACCAAAAGTACAAAAATTAACTGGGCATAGTGGCAGGCGCCTGTAATCCCAGCTACTTGGGAGGCTGAGGCAGGAGAATCTCTGGAACCTGGGAGGTGGAGGTTGCAGTGAGCTGAGATCAGGCCATTGCACTCCAGCCTGAATGACAGTGAGACTCTGTCTCAAAAAAAAAAAAAAAAAAAAAGAAAGAAGAAAAAAGGATAAGGGAACCAGATTCTTAGTTTCCCAGGAGCGTTAGAGATAATACGGTTCAGGCCAGGTGTGGTGGCTCACACCTGTAATCCCAGCACTTTGGGAGGCCGAGGTGGGTGGGTCACCTGAGATCAGGAGTTCGACACCAGCCGGGCCAACATGGCGAAACCCTGTCTCTGCTAAAAATACAAAAATCAGCCAGGCATGGTGGTGCATGCCTGTATGCCCAGCTACTCGGGAGGCTGAAGCAGGAATCGCTTGAACTCAGGAGGCAGAGGTTACAGTGAGCTGAGATCTTGCCACTACACTCCAGCCTGGGCAGCAGAGCAAGACTCCGTCTCAGAAAAATAAATAAATAAATAAATAAATAAAAATAAATAATATGGTTCAGTGGCTTTTTGTTTATTTGTTTTTTTTCTACTACCCTCATCTCCTGCACTCCACTCCAGTCCCCGGTAGAATGCTGAAGGTGCTTCACTTCTGAAAACATTTCTAATCATTAAAAACCTGGAATAAATGTATACTCCTCAAGTGTATTACACAATGTTGCTGTATGCTTCTGTGTAGATTGTGGGAAAAAGTTTCTTATGTCATTTCTGCCCATACAGGTCCACATTCCTGAAATCCAAAATGATCTAAAAATGGAAAGTGCTTTTGTAAGTTGGGCACTAAAACTTATTTAATGGCAAAATCTGACCTGAATGGATGGGTAGCTATTTAGAATTTTTTTAAAAAAATTAATCTCACTTATGAATATTTAAATATTTTTGTAAAGTATTATTAATCTATTTTATTATAGGGTGCTGCTCTGGACCATGCTGGCGACATCCCATAATACAGAGTGTATTACATTGTTAAATCTATAGAATCTTGAATATTGAACAGCACTTGGCCCTGAGAGTGTCACATATTGGACTATGGACCTGCATTTGGGCTTATAAACTCATCACTTCGGCTGGGCGTGGTGGCACACGCCTGTAGTCCCAGCTACTTGGGAGGCTGAGGCATGAGAATCCCTTGAACCTGGGAGGCAGAGGCTGCAGTGAGCTGAGATTGCGCCACTGCACTCCAGCCTGGGTGATAGAATGAGACTCTGTCTCAAAAAAAAAAAAAAAAAAAAAAAAAGAAATTAAAAAAAGTTTTAAAAAAAAGTTAAAAAAACCCCTCATCCCTTGGGAATGGTTTAACTCTGCTGGTCTTCTTAAGCTCAGGCCTGTGTGTGCTGGGTCATGTAAAGTTGTTTAAACAAGTCTGGAACAGTCAATTGTGCAATAACATCATGATAGTGTTCTACTACAAATACTTATAATGCTTAATCCAAGTTCTGGGTCCTTTTCTGATCTTTAAAGATGTCTTAAAGAATACAAGTGATGGCTGGGCGCGGTGGCTCAAGCCTGTAATCCCAGCACTTTGGGAGGCTGAGACGGGCGGATCACAAGGTCAGGAGATCGAGACCATCCTGGCTAACACGGTGAAACCCCGTCTCTACTAAAAAATACAAAAAACTAGCCGGGCGAGGTGGCGGGCGCCTGTAGTCCCAGCTACTCGGGAGGCTGAGGCAGGAGAATGGCGTGAACCCGGGAGGCGGAGCTTGCAGTGAGCTGAGATCCGGCCACTGCACTCCAGCCTGGGCGACAGAGCGAGACTCCGCCTCAAAAAAAAAAAAGAATACAAGTGATTTAACAATATTGTTAGCGATTCAACTTGGAAACAAAAATTTCATAGCACTCCTTTCCTAAGGAATATTTAGAGATTGGAAGATGAGCTGTTAAAAAAAGCTGTTGTAGGCTGGGCGCGGTGGTTCACACCTGTAATCTCAGCACTTTGGAGGCCGAGGCAGGTGGATCACTTGAGGTCAGGAGTTCGAGAGTAGCCTGGCCAACATGGCAAAACCCTGTCTCTACTATTAGCCTGGCAGCGGTGACAGGTGCCTATAATTCCAGCTACTCAGATGGCTGAGGCACGAGAGTCCCTTGAACCCTAAGGCAGAGGTTGCAGATAGCCAAGATTGCGCTACTACACTCCAGCCTGGGCGACAGAGTGAGAGTGTGTCTTCAAAAATTTTAAAAAGCTGTTATATTTACAACTACGCATGTAGGAAAATCAGCATTTTCTTTATATTGTACAATCAAAACAAAACACAGACATTTATTGTTATCCATAACCCTAATTGTAAGTGTGTGCATGACCTTAATTGTTCTTGTTGCCTTCCTAAGTAAATATTTTAAAAATGACCTTTCTTACAAAATATTTTTATATAAAATAAATACAACTTTTGACTCGTTTTGCACGCTGGCATTTCTCATAAAATTTTATTTGGAAAAAGTTATATTCAATGACCCAATGGTATAAAAGTGGAAAAGGAAAGTGACAGCTAGAGATTGATAACTACATCCTCTGCAATCCTCGGAAGAAAGAAAGGGCCTCTTTGGGTTGTTTCAGGTAAAGTACGTCAGTGGGACTATAGGAAAGAGAATTTCCACACTGTCTTTCTGCATCAGTGATTTTAATAGAGACTCTTAGTGGTTATCAACAACTGGTCAGTTTTTTTTTTTTTTTTCACACTGCTCTCTGGATTTGGACCTAGCGAATTCTGGGCTCAGTCCTCTTCCTCCATCTCTTTCTTGATCCAGTCCACGTAGTTGAGCACTTTGGTGTAGAAGCCATAGCCCTTGCTGCACCCGATGCCCCAGGACACGATGCCTGTTGCCACCCAGCGATCAGTGTTCGGGTCCCTTACTGCAAAAACGCCCCCACTATCCCCCTGGCAGGCATCCTGCTTTAGAGATGGGTGCCCAGCACAGAACATGTTTTGAGAGAACACATCCATCCTATTCTTTCCCCGGAGCCAGGTCTCACAGTCCTCTCGATTAGCTACGGGCAGACGGACAAACCTGAGGTCATGAGCAATCTTCTCCTCCATGACCCCAAAGCCACTGACATAGCCCATCAAGCCCAGGTCATAGAAGGTCTCGTTGTCAGGGAGGCAGATGGGGAGGAGGTTGGGACCCAGGGTGACACTATTTTCCAGCTCCAGCAGGGCGATGTCCCCCTCAAAATTGTGGGACTCATCCTGACGGTAGTCTGGGTGGATGCTGACCCTGCGGATGGGGTGATTGGCCAGCTTCATGAGCTCTTCCACATTTGTGTGGCCCAGGAACACATCCAAGGAGGCGTTGCTTTGCGCCTCGTGTTCCTTGGGATACAGGGTGTGGGCAGCCGTGAGGATCCAGCGGTCGCCCAGCAGGGCTCCACCCCCTCGCCCATGGATGTTGGTGAACACCTGCCAGGGGAAGTTGCCCATCTTGGCTTTTTGCCCTCCGATGATGCGCTGCCTCTGTTCCACGGGGTTCACGGGCTTCCCACACACTGAGGGAGAGAGAGGGAAGACAAGGGCAAGTCAGCTCCAGGTCCCATACCTCTTCCCTCTGTGGCCAGCCAGCTCCGTATTTGCCCTCTCTTTTTGGCTTCTGTCTCTTTTCTCTTTCTCCTCCCATCCCCACACCTCCGTCATTGGCCTATTGACAGGCTCCTCTCCTTGTTCTTTTTTTTTTTTTTTAATTATTACTTTTATTTTTTGAGACTCCTTGCTTTGTCGCCCAGGCTGGAGTGCAGTGGCGTGATTTCAGCTCACTGCAACCTCCGCCTCCTGGGTTCAAGTGATTCTTGTGCCTCAGCCACTCAAGTAGCTGGGACTGCAGGCATGTGCCACCATGCTTGGCTAATTTTTCTATCTTTAGTAGAGGCTGGGTTTCACCATTGTTGGCCAGACTGGTCTCGAACTCCTGACCTCAGGTGATCCGCCTACCTCGGCCTCCCAAAGTGCTGGGATTACAGGTATGAGCCACTGCGTCTTGCCCCTTGTTCTTGTTTATTTCTTCCTAGGGTGTCTTCTGTTGTTTTTATTCTCTGATTTCCCATCTGCTTAGTGAAAATGCCGGCATTTCGGGACTGAATTCAGCACCCTTCCCCTCCCTCGCTTTCTCGTGGTATGTTCCCCTCTCCTCTCCTCTGTTTCCTTTTTCTGGGCCACACTGCTTTTGAGGCCCTGCAGGCTGCTAAAGGCCCTGAGGGTTGCCCCAGAGGGTTTCCACTCACCTGGCAAGCACCGAGGAATCTTCTCTCCCTTCTGTTCATTCTTCCAAATGCCCTGTGCTGTGCAGGTGTACAGCCCTGAAGGCAGAGGAGGCAAGAATCAAGTTGGGAGGTGATGGGTCAGAAAACTAGGTTGCAGAGGCCGGCAAGTACTGAGTGTGCTCGACGGGGAGAGGGGTAGGGAGGAACAACATGGCAAGGGCCAAAGGTCAAAGGCTCAACTCTAGAAGGAAAAAACGTCAAGTGTTCAGAGGCTCTAGACCTATATTTCGTTTTAATGTCAAGTAAAAAAATCAGAATGCTTAACCATTAATATATGTTTGCTGTGATCCCTGTTTGTGAAAGTAGACATAAAAACCAGAAGGAATGTATCAAAATTTTATCAGTGATTGCGTCTTAGTCGTGGAATCATAGATGATAATTGTAGCTACGTCTTCTGATTGCTGAAAATGTGCCATGCTTCTTACTTTATCTGCATGATCTCATTTAACCACTACAGTGACACTTGCAGGTGTGTGTTATTGTCCTCATTGTGGATGAGGAAGCTGAGCTTAAATATTTTGCACAGGGTCACATAACTTCTGAGTGCCAGAACCAAGGTGCAAGAAGTTTTCTGACTCCAAAGCCCAGCTCTTAATGAATACCATTTATAATCCAGATTTTTTTCCTTTTTTCTGTGTTTCAAACCTATAATGCATGTGATTTCTAATATTTAAAAAAAGTTTGAAAAATACTCAATAATGAGTGAGAGTCATTTAGTAAAACTAGGTGCAAAAATCACAACCAGGTTTAGAGGGGAGAATGGAGAGGGGAATTTCACTGAGTTAGCTGTAGGGCTTATGATGGTGATGAAGATTGTGGTGTTGGTGTTGGTGTTGGTGGTGACTGTGGTGTTGGTGTTGGTAATGGTGGTGGTGATTGTGGTGTTGATGTTATTAATGGTGGTGGTGATTGTGGTATTGTTGTTGGTGGTGACAGTGGTGTTGTTAATGTAGTGGTATTATTAATGGTGACAATTAATAGTGATGGTGGTATTAATTGGTGATGATGGTGTTGGTATGGTGGTAGTGATGATAGTGTTGGTAATGGTGATGGACGTAATGGTGGTGGTGGTGGTGTTGGTGATGGTAATGGTGGTGTTGGTGTTGGTAATGGTGGTGATGCTGATGGTGGTGTTGGTATGATTGTTAGTAATGGTGGTGGTTATAATGGTAGTTGTGATGGTGAGTATTCGTAATGGTGATGATGATGAAGTGGTGGTATTGTTAATTTGTGGTGGTGATGGTGGTGTTGGTAATGGTGATGTTAGTGTTGGTGTTGGCAATGGTGGGTGGTGGTGATAGTGGTGTTAGTGTGGTGGTGGTGATCATGGTAGTGTTGGCTCAATGGTGTTGATTATGATGATGGTGGTGATGGTGGTATTAGTGTTGGTGGTGATGATGTTGGTAATGAGTGATGGGTGGTGATGATGGTGTTGGTGGTGTGGTGGTGGTGTTGGTGTTGTGGTAATGGTCATGGTGATAGTGAAGATTATTTGGTAATGGTGGTGGTGATAATGGTAGTAGTGATGGTGGCATGGTAATGATAATTGTATGATTGTGGTGATGAGTGATGGTGGTGATTATTGCTTTGGCATTGATGCTACTGTTAGTGTTGCTGGTATTGTTACTAGTAGTAGTAAGCGATGTGATGATAAATGTAATCAAACCTGTGTGAAACAATAGTGGTAAATAAGGCGATGTAGTGACAATGAAACTGTTATACAGTGATCTTTGCTGTGGCTCAGATTAACATATACCAAACTTAAAGGTTCCTGTTAGCACTATAATTTGGGCCCACTGTGGCCAGTGTGCAGCAGATGCACCTTAATATGCATTCCTAGGGATTCTACTGGGAGAAATCTCAGAGGATACCCAGGGGATGGAAGGAGGAAATTTCCATCTCCATTGGTTCTACCTTGCTCAGACTCGCACTGCCAGCTCTGGTCTGCATCTTGTAATATGGCTCGTGGCAGTAGTACTGGATCGTGCCTTATAGGTGTTCACCCCATTGTGGTGAAGATGTGAGGCACCATTAAATGAGTTTCGGGGCTGCCCACAGTCCTTGACTTAGGAGAGAACACAGGGCAGGGTGAGAGCTGAGAATGGCCTATGCTGGAACTTCAGTGTGGGGGTGTGAGTTGTCCACCACTTAGAGCAGGCTGAGAAGCTTAGAAAAGAGATAGTCCCAGTGGAGGGCCCTTACAGTGGACAGGAGTTGGGTGGTGTGAAATTCAGTTCTGGGTAGAGCCCATCCATCACTGCTGAGATGAGGGGAGCTCATTGATTCCTGAGATGAGGGGCTCACTGATTCCTGAGATGGAGCCATGACATCAAAGGACAAGTCAGGGTGAGGTCTCGCAGAGAAAACTCTACAGATCTCTCTCTTTCTTTCTTGGCCCAGAGTCCTCAAGGCTGGAGGTGGAAGTCCCCAGGTCATATCCCTAGATGCAATACTCTTGCATCTGGGCACCTTGCGATGCCATGTGCACTCATCCTGGCAGACAGCTGTTGAGAAAGAGTGCTTACTTGGTTCCCCCTGTTGAGCAGAAGACAGAGGTGTCATCAGTGCCAAGAGGCAATGCAGGTCCCCTTGCTGCCTTCCCACATAGGAGTAGAAGGCAATGCAAAGACATCTCTCAGCTCCTGATGACTGGCTCCCCCATGGATGCTGACTCCCTTCTTCCCTTCTCCCCAGCCCATTGCAGACCCAGGGCACTTAGGCCACCCCCTTGTAAAGTCAGAGCGGGACTAATTGATAGACCTGATCATCCTCTCTCTAGACTGTGGCCTGTTCCCACTGAGGTCCAATTGAATCCCACAATTTGTAATTAAAAACATCTAAACCCATGTTTGGGTGTTTTTGTATCAAAACAAAATCCTGTGCTCCAGGCAGGGCCATGTTTCTCTGGCTGGAGTCTGCCTCAGCCTGCCTTTCTCTCTCCTGGGTTGCAGTTTTCCTGAGACAGAGTCTTCCCTGAAATCCTAGAGCCACCTCACTCCTTTGAACGGTGCTGGAGACGTTGATGTATGTGAAGTGCTGTTGCTGTTGAGCAGGGACAAGACTAGGAAATGGCAGTCTTTGAAATGAAAGTTACTGGACAATGGACAAGGTTTACTAAGACTAAAATCGGCCAGGTGCAGTGGCTCCATGCCTGCCTCTTGCCCACTTCCGGGGGCGAGATGGGTGGATCACTTGAGGCCAGGAGTTTGAGACAAGCCTGAGCGGCATGGAGAAACCCTGTCTCTACTAAAAATGCAAAAATTAGCCAGGCATGGTGGCACCGCCTCTGTAATTCCAACAACTCAGGTGGCTGAGGCATGAATAACTTGAATCCAAGAGAATCACTTGAAATTGGGAGGCGGAGTTTACAGTGAGCTGAGATCATGCCACTGCCTGGGTGACAGAGCAAGACTGTCTCTCAAAACTGAACAAAAAGACCAAAATCATTCTATAGAGTTAGCCCTGGAAAGATTGCAAGAGAATGTGTATCAAGACTAGACCGTCTGATGAAATGTATAGGTAATGTGAGAAACGGTGTGACTTGCTTTAAATTCTATGATGTGAATCACAAATGCAAAAGTAAGGGCAGTGGGTAGATGCAGGCAAAGAGGATTGTAATATGAGCAAAGAGGTTGTTGGTCTCAGTCCTCTGGACCCCAGGACTTACCCACCCAATCCTCCTGATGGAGATGGAAGCACCTTGGAATAAAGAACAATGCATCAGGTAGACTAGGCTTCGATTACAACATTCATCTGCAGCTCCTAAAACTGTATGACTTTGTGGTTCTTTATAATTCCATCAGACAGTGCCTGACAGTAGACCCTTAAATGTGCATTAAATGAATTAACTATAGCTTAAGGACATGTCGCGATCTCTTCTTTGATTCTGATTGTCTTCTGTGTGGGCCTATTGAGCAGCAGAGGATGTACAGTCTTGGTCTCTGTCCAGAGAGACAGATAATTTTAGTTTTTAGCTTTTGTAGAGATTGATCCATGGATAAAATCATATTCCTTGCTGGAATCACCAGAGCTGAGGACAGGACGGTGGGCCCAGGGTGAGACCACCCACCGCTGTCAAAGAGCCCTGGAGCCGGAGGCAGGAGATTGGGGTCTAGTCACACACGTAAATCACTATGTGATGTTGACGAGTCACTACATTTCCACCCTGCCTTTCCAGTTCCTTCAGCTTTCGCGATTATTGAATGAGGGCAATAGTTCTTAAGCTTGGCTGCCGCGTTAGAATCACCTGGGTAGCTTTAAATAGTCTTCCTTTGCTCAGACTCTCCAGATCAATGGAATGATCTCTGCTGGGGACCCTTGACTTCCAGTATTTATTGATTGATTTTTGTTTTTTTAGAGACAGTCTGGCTATATTGCTCAGCTGGGTGCAGTGGCTATTCCACAGGAGCCTTGTATGATTGAGTTCAAACAATCTTCCAGAATTGTAACTCTCTCTGTTTTAAGTGTGCAGCGAAGTTTGAGAGCTGGTGGACAGGGGCTCTTTGGCTGAAACGTCTGCAGCTCCAGCTGGTGAGACCAATATCTATAGACACACCATCAGTTGCCCCCTGGGATGCTGGGGCAACTCTCTCCCCTCAGCTGGGCTCTTGCATACTGTGGGCTGTTGGCCTGTTTGGTGGCAATGAAGTAGTCACGGAATTGGTACGGCTGAGTTCTGGATAGACGGTGAACTCGTCTGGTCTTGGGCTGGGGACCTTGTTGACTATTGGGGAGACCAGAGGCGTATTGTTGAGAGCCACCTGCCCCTTCCCATGCCCGCTTTTTCCCCATTGCTGGCCAGCAAGGGGCCCCGGGGAGTCTTACTCTCGGTGGTGGCGCAGCTTCCAGCCCGGCTGTCCCTGACTCATCTGTGAAGAACAGCAGATCCACCTTGTGCTGCTGGTGTCAAGGTCAGAGGCACTGCTTCCACATTTCGCCAATGTTCTTCCCGTTGGCATGAATCTGGTAGGAGGAGGGTTTTGTTTTTGTTTTGTTTTTTCCAGCTAGGACATTTTTACACAGGGCCAACTGTGTGGCAGCCCTCAAGTATTGGGGAGTGGTGGTGGTGATGAAATCCTGCCTTATGCGTGTTTTCAGGGGAAGAGGTGAAGAAGATCCCCACGACCCAATTCCCAGTTGTGCTGAGGAACTTGCCCAGCCCGTGGTTGATGTTGGCCATTCCTGCCCCAGCAGGCCAGGGGATCCAGGAGGAAGTTGGGACAAGAGGAGCCAAGTGCAGACGGAAGAGGAGGAAGGGTCTTTCTGGGGTAGGATGGCTGTGCCATCTGTGTGGCTAGTCATGGGGCAGTGTACTTGCTGGTAGTCATCAATTTCAAAGGCTCCTGAGGCTTGAGGTGCAGGGTGAGGCCCGCTCCGCGGATGCTGTAGTTGCAGCGCAGGTCAGGGTAGGACCAGGGGTACTCAGGCTGGAGATGTGGCCTACCAGTGCCTCCGTGTACAGCTCGCTGCACTCAGCTGAGCAGAGCGCAGAGGGCATCAGGGCACTCTGGCTGCTTGCTCAAGCTGGCTGAACCCTGCCTCCTGTCCACCACTCTGGCTGGCTGAACCCCTGCCTCCCTGCTCCACCACTCTGGCTGGCTGAACCCCTGCCTCCTGCTCCCACCACTCTGGCTCACCCTGGCAGGAATGCCTGTCCTTCTGAAGCTCATAGCCGGGATGGCAGGAACAGAGTAGCCTCAACGTGGTTGTGACACAGGTGCTGGCACTGGGGCTGGGGGTCGTTCTCCCCTGATTTGCTCTGGGAAGCACATTCATCAAGGTCTGGAAGGCATTCAGGAAGGGGACGGTTCAGCTCACTGCCTGGGGCCACAGTGGTGGCTCTGAAGTCTTAGGGAAGTCCCTCACTTAGAGCCTAAGAGACAAAGGCATCTTTAGGCCACCTGGACCTCGGCCAGAGCCTCTCCAATGCTCTCGAGGACTGCTCCACGAAGGACCAGAGCCCAGGTTGACTGACAGGCCTCGTTAGGGAGAGGATTCTCTTGAGGGGAGGAACAAGAGGAAAGCCAGGCTGCTTCTTTGGATTCAGATTCCCTTTCTTGGCACTCCATTCAGTGTGGCTGAGGTCGGAGAGGGAAAAGAATCAAAGAAACTCTCCACACAACAGTAGTAAACCAGAAGCATATGAACATGATGGTCCATTCTCCTCGTTAGAGGAGTGAGCTGTGGAAGGTCAGCAGCATCTTGTTCCCTTGGGACTAAATTCCTTCTTTCGGTGCCAGTGGAGAGCCAGTTGCCCACAGAACCTCCCAGGTCTTCATATCAGCAGAGATCTGGTGGAAGAAGGACAGGGGATAGGAAGAAGACCTGTTGTGGAGTGGCATACGTGGTGGCTCAGTGACAGTCATTGTCTTGCCCAAAGTGAATCTTGCTTTGCCACATTGGCTCTGCTGGTCACTACACCCTTTGGGCTCGACTGCTACAAAATTCCCGTGTGACTTTCAACTGTTCCCCGAGTCTCCCACTGGAGTCACTCTTACATGTTGTCCCTGCACTGTTACCTCATGTTTCCTGTTTTCTGCTCCACTGGCCAGTTTCAGGTCCAGGCTCAGCCCTACACCTCCTATGGCTGTTCCCTGGGAGCCTGGTTCTCTCTTTAGCCTTTGCCCTGTTCAGAGCTTGGACAGCTCTGCTTTGGCCCTTGTCTTCAGATTCCACCTCAGCCCTAATCCAGACATTCCACCTGGGTGCACTCCTGATGCCTCGGGTGAACATAGGCCCTGAGTCCCACCAGTCTCAGCCTCAGCAGGCATTTACTCATCCTCATCCTTCCTACTCCCAAGCTCTTCAACCTCTCCTTGCCCCTGCCACAAATGCCCTCCCCAACACTGCACAACTGTAGAGTCTTCAGGTGGGAAGATGTATTCATTGCATGTGAATTCACGCACCAACCTCCGGGGTCTCTCTCAGGAATGGTAGTTATTGGACCTTCGCAGGCTCTGCTTAGACCCTGAATCTCATTTTGCTGGATAGAAAGATGGAGCCAGGAAGGTTGTCACAGAGGTGAGGTTCTAGGCCTACTGTCCTTGCTGAAGACTATTCCCACGTGCCAGAGCACACATTCTCCTCTCATGTCCTGTGTGTTCCTGTTGAGGCGGAGGCAGCCATGCCAATCTTCTCATGGGAGACAGGAAGCTGAGGGTGCGGTGGTTTCCCAAAGGCTCTCAGCTGAACTAGCAGATGGGGAAAGTTTCCTGACTCAGTGCACAGTGAATTTCCTGAGTGGGTCCTGTCCCCTTCCTTCTCTGTGCTTCCTCAATTGCTCACTGAGGTCTCTACCTCAGTAATTATATCCAGGGCAACCCTTTGTCAGAGATGCAGTCGGCCATCAGCTCTTGTGGGGCTGGGCAGTGTACAAGGGTGTGCATGTGGTCCCCAGATCCCAGAGGTTCCCGTTTTGTCTCCCCTCTGCCACCCATCCTGCCCCTACCTTGGCTGCAGTCATAGAAGCAGCCTTCAGAAGGCTCCCAGGTCAAAGTGCTGGAAGGCAGGCTTCACCTGTATCCTGTAGGACTGTGATCTGATAGTTGTTTCAAAGCTGTTGGGGGTAAGGCTTGGGGAACAGAGGGGAAGTCACACTCCCCCAAATAACTTCTGAGGGATGGGAATGGAGCCTCCTGCCCTGCGACAGGCCAGCACCAGGAGGAACAAGAGCCACCTGCAAAACAAAGAGAGTGTCTGGAGTTGGAGGATTAGCGCCAGCACTTGAGTGGGCAGTGGTCATGGCGAGTGGGCCGAGGCCAGCCTGCCGCTAGATCCTCCTCCTCTCTGCCACTCTGGACCTCACCGACATGTTCTCATGAGGTGCCTGGGTGGGGAGCGGCCTTCACAGCTGCTGCATTGGGTCTCACTCCCAGGGCAATGTCAGTCAGAGGGCCACCACTCCCCTCACTCCCTTTCAGCCTCCTCCCTGCCTGGCCCCGTCCCTCCCCTCCCCTTCCAGGAATAGGACTGGCTTGGGACAAGTTAATGGAGGTGAGGTTTCCACCCATGCAGGTGTCTGAAAGGGCTCCACGGGTTCCAGTAGACGTCTGGGAGACCATCTGTGGAGTGTGGGACACAGGCAGAGTGTCCCCTCCTGGGCAGGGTCCCTCCTCTCGCTGCTCCCTGCTGTGTGAGCCCAGAGGAAGAAAGGACCATGGCATGGGCTTCTATGTATAAGGTCTCCTCTGGTCCTTAGGAGGAGGGATGGGGCGTGTGTTGTGTGTGTCCATGTGTGTGCAGTGGATTGTGAGAGAAGAGTGTGAAGAGAGAAGAGATTGTCTGTCTCTCTGGTGCCTCTCATGCCCTGGCTTCTCCCCTGGCTTCCCCCTCCCGCCTGGGTGCCCCATACCCCTTACTCATTTCTCAGAGCCCTTGTTGAATCCTGGGCTCTCCTAACCGGTATCTGCGTGCACTGTGTGCAGAGGAGCCACGTCACCACTTGGGGAGGAGGGTTTTCTGTGGGTAGGAGGGGGACCATTCCCAGAGAATGTTGGAGGGAATGAACTGTTGCATAAACAAAAGATCTGAGTTTCCACTTTAATTTAGTTTTGGTTTTGAAATCCCTGGTGGTGTTCCACCTGCTGGTCTATGAGGGAAAGAGGGCTAAGGAGACGAGTCGGACTTTTAGGGCCAGGGAGCCTTGCTTTAGTTTGGAAGGCAGATGCTTCAGTCTCTGAATCTGATCAACCTCCTTTCTTCATTTCCACAGGGGGCTGCTGCTGTGTTTACAGGTTCTACAAAGCAGTGGGAGACCACAGGTTGTGGGGATTCTCTTTAGGCTGTCACTCGCGGCCCCGTTCTTCTTGCTGTCTGACTGGCCCAGCCCTGGTTCAAGAATGGCCCGGGTTTCCCATGCCAGGACCTCATCAGTCGGAACACTGGGGGCGAGAGGAGGGCACGTAGGGTGGGCAGAAGAAGGAGCTTGGGGCCTGGCCTGCTTTAGCCGTGAATATTGTGGACATAGGTAGGGATGGCCATGTCAGGGCAGCTAATCAGCCCTCGGTTGAGACCCTCTGGAGGCAGCTGCGGAGAATGCAAATACATCTCCTCCGGCTCTGCTCAGCAACTGCCAGGACTGAAGCAGTGCGGGTGTGAGCAAGAGGCATGTTTTTCTGAGATGGAGCCAGGCCCTGGGAGGAGGACCTGAGGCTCTCTTGTCCATGGAGCTGTGGTGTCCTGCTTTAAAAATTTTGCTCTTGGCACGTGGTGGCTCGTGCCTCTGATCCTGGGGCTTTGCCGAGGCAGGGTAGGAAGATCTCTTGGCGCAAGGGTTTACAGAAACCATTCTGTTTGTTTGCCTCAGTGAAACCGTCTCTCTAAGGGTTCAAACAAAATAAAACAATTGCTGTTTTGGAAGGCTTTCTTCATCAACTCTCAAACAAGCACCCAAATATCCGAGGCCTTTACCCCATAGAGAGGCTTGGGTTACAGAGCAGGCCTCTGTATTCTTAAGCCTTACATGGAGCTGTTCTGCTTGTTTCCCTTATTAGATTAATCCTCCAACCTCTCCCCTTCTACCCCATCCCCGTTCATCCATATTTGGGCTACCTGGTATTGTCTGTGAGAAGGCACTTTCCCGGTAATGGTGCAAGAATTCACAGAGCTGATGCAGTTCCCCATCAGGCAGTGACCAAGTCATCAGTAGTTAGACAGCAGGCACACAGAAGGTGCAGATCACAATGTGGACGGTTTCTCCATGAGCCTGTGTCCAGAGCTGAGACTGAACTAAATAATTTAGTCTGTGATGGGATCAGGATGGAACCATAGCCTTGTTAGGTCAGGAAAGACAAAAGATAGGGGAGAGGGAAAGGACTAGATCAGAGGGCGAGAAGGAGGAATCTCGTGTAATAGACTTTGCACATTAATATCACCAGCCAGCAGTGTTGCTGCATGTGTGTGTGTGTGTGTGTGTGTGTGTGTGTGTGCTGGACTGTATATTTCATAATGGAAATGAAAGGGCAGTGAAGAGTAGTGTTAGCTGAAGCTCTTGTCATCCTAGGGGAGTCTCGGTTCTTGGCATTGCTGCAACATGCTTGGAGAGTGGCGTGAGCCTGGCTAGCCATGGATTACCTCCTCCATACAAATTTTTTGAATGGTTTGATTTTCTGCTTTCTTAATCTAGGTAGGAGATATTTTGGAGATAGAGAGCTGTCTTATCCTTAAAACATATGGCACAAAAGAGAGTTTCTATCTTGCCCAGCCCTGTCGGTCTCTCTTTCTTTTCATATTTTTTCTTTTTTCTTTCTTTTTTTTTTTTGAGATGAGTCCATATTTCAGGCTTTGGAGTGCAGTGGCGCCATCCTGGCTACTGCAACCTCAAATCTACTGGGGTTCAATGGATTCTCCCCTCTCAGCCTCCTGGTGGCTGGGGATTATAGGCTGCCATCCAAGCCTGGCTAATTTTTGTGTTTGTGTGTTCTGAGTTTCACCATGGTGGCCAGGCTGGTCTTCTGGGCTCCTGACCTCAGGTGATCTGCCTGCCTCAGCTCCCAAAGTGCTGGGATTACAGGCGTGAGCCACCGCCAGCCTTTCCTCCTTTTCTAGTCCATCATAAACCTTCATGCCACTTTTCCTCAGACATGTCGCTGACCTGATGAGGAACAAGCTCCCTGCCTCTTCTTTTCTTCATTCTTGACCGTGTTCTTCCCACCTTCTTCTTGTCTTCCCTCTCTCTATTCTAAGGCTTTCCTTCAACTTCCCTGTATTCGTGGGTCCCAGTCGCAGCTATGACTTGACCCAGAATGGTGCTGTGGTGGCTACTCACCAGGCATACTGAAACCTCCTCCCATCCTGTCTGTCCTTCCAGGTCTGGGTTGTGCAGTGGAGTGTCCTGAGAGGCAGAATGAGAGAGCAAAGAAATAGGCTCAGAGTGGCGCTGTTGGTTAACAAGGAGGTTCCTGCAGAGGGAAGCGTCAGGCCCTGTGCCGCTGTCGCCCGAGGCCGGAGGGTTGCCGCATGCCCTTGGCCGGAGACAGAGACTGGCCCACTTACTTGAACCTGCTTCTGAAGAGTAAAATCCTTACACAGGCGAGGCAGGCTTGATGGAGAAATAAGAAAGGCAAGAAAGCTTCACGTGCACAGGAGGCTTGAGGCAGTGACAGAGCTGACAAAGACAGCAGCATTAAAAAGGCAGAATATAGACCTATTTCTTAGGCTCACCCCATCCACCCTACTTCACCCCCTTACCTACACTGTTTGCAGGAGTTAAAGCAATTTTATGAATTTTGGAACCCAGCCCAGGGAGATAGCTTTGGATTTTCAATGTCGGGGAACATAAACAACCCCCAAACGAACTCTGGAAAGGCAGATATGGGAGCGTTTTATGTTCCTTGTCATTTGGCTGTCCTTTTTCTCCTTCCCCAGACAACCCTGTCTCAGTGGGGCGCCCACTTCTTTCTCAGACCGCTTGTCCCAGGGTCCCTGCTTCCCTAGTGAAAAGAAGCTCCTGCTCTCCTGTGGCGTTGGGGCATCAGCAGAGGTGCTCCTCACACAGGGAGCACCAGCTTCTGCGAGTCATCCCCACAGGCCTGACCCACAGACAGATGAATAACGTACCCAGAACACACCGATACTCAGTGGAGCAGACTAGGGTCCTGGCCCCTCAGGAGGCCTGCAAGGAAGTGCTGTAAAATGCTTCGCAGCCCCAACTAAGCTGGCCCTGCAGACATTTGTGGCACAGTTTTAGCAACAAGACTTTGAGTCAACAAGCCTGTTAGGTAATTAATCTGATTTGCCCTCACCCTGGGAGAGCAATCCTGCCCACGAGTGATCAAAGATTAGTTTTAGGACCACATGAGTAAATAAGCTCTTTAGATAAAGTCCTGTATGCTCCTGTATCTATGTCCTGAGCTTTTAAGAACTCAGCTGCCTTCAGCCAAGACTTTACAAAAGCTGTGCTTTGCGACTTCTTGGCTTTCCAAGAAGGTTTATGTTTATTTCCTCTAAATCTTTTCCCTCCACCTAACAGACTCCCACATATTTTTATTAGAGATGGGGTTTCACCATGTTGGCCAGGATGGTCTCGATCTCATGACTTCGTGATCTGCCTGCCTCGGCTTCCCAAAATGCACCTAAGATTCTCCCCAGTGGCCGACTGACTGCCTCTCTTCTTCCCCCTTTCTTCTGCCTCTGAAAAATAGCACTTTCTGTCCTAGAGCTACAGTGCCTGGGTCACACAATCTACCTCTTTTTTTGTTCAGATTGCATTGTCTGTTTCCCTTTTGCTTTGGGTTTGCACCAGACCTACCATGTAGGAGATCTGTCCCCTAACTATCCTCAGGCATACCCCAGTAAGTAGAGAAATCTTAGGACATAAAAGTTCCTGAAAAATTATAAATTCACCTCTCGCCACCCATCTAGAAGCATGATTGTCAGAAGAAACTGTGCATAAACTCATTAGAGTATACTATAGCACAAAGAATGAGGAAGACCAGGGCTGAGGTAGTGGAATAAGCATGTATGGAGGGAGGCCACCCTGTACTCACAGTGAACTGAAGTCAAGTCCTGAGACATAAATGTTCTACTCTCTCTGTCCCTTCTCTTACCTCCATACCAAAATATTACCTTTCCCACAACTTTTTGTTGTGTTGTTGTTGTGACTCTTCTCTTAGAGCAATGTGGGAGACATTGAAGAAGGAAGCTCTGTGGACAGAGGACCAGTAACAATCCCCACTCTCCAATTGTGTGGAAGAGTTCCAAATCCCGCCCTAACAACTCCACCGGCAATCTTCCGTCAGACTTTCTAATAAAGGAGGTTTTCTTGGTTTTGCATGCTGTGTTTGCGGTAAACTCGCCTTCTTGGGCCTTATTGGTAGCTAAAGTTGAAGTAGAAATCCTTTGAGCAACGTTGAATAGGTTACGGTGGCAATTCATGCAAAAAGTGTTGACTTGGCACAGTCCTCCATAAATCACTTTTATGAAATTCAAATGCATGATCATATCTTAATTAGTGATGATGATAATGGTAATAACATAAGCCATAATACACAGTAATTTATCGAGAGCCACTGTAAACTGGGTATATGCGGGGGATTTTCCTATTTTAACACAATCATCACTTTCACCTTCCAGGAATAGGTGTTATTTGCTCCATATAAAAAAATGAAGAAAATGAGACTAGGAAAGTTAATAACTTGCCAAAATCACCACGAGGAATGTGTAGTATTTAAGCCATTCAATATATGGCATTTAAGTACTTCCAAATTCTGGTACTTCTATATCTCTCTCGAGTTAAAAATGAAGCTAGGACATCTCACTTAAAACCAAACTATTTAGATTTGATAGAAGGACCAACATCATATAAAGCAATGAATGTCACTGATTCCTCCTGCAGAGAACATCGTCATGTTTACCTTGCAGACTGTCATCCCTGGGCTAAACGCTCTGTACATGAGAAAAATTAAAATCTGTGACAGTAAACTTTCCCTGTTTGGGCATGGTAGCTCATGCCTGTAATCCCAGCACTTTGGGAGGCTGAGGCAGGTGGATTACTGGAGGCCAGGAGTTAAAGACCAACCTCACCAGCGTGGTGAATCCTGTCTCTACTAAAAATACAAAAAAAAATTAACTTGAGCATGGTGGCGGTGCTTGTGTTCCCAGCTCCTCGGGAGGTGGAGGCACGAGACTTGCTTGAACCTGGGAGGCGGAGGTTGCAGTGAGCTGAGATCATGAGGCTGTCTCCAGCTATGGGTGACAGAGTGTTTCTCTCTCTCTCCTGTCACACGCACACATGCCCTCTGGCCCTCCCAGTGACAGAGTGAGGCTATGTCACCACACACACACACACACACACACACACACACACACACAGCACTCCAGCCTCGTGACAGAGTAGAGTATATCACACACACACACACGAGCTCCTTATGGCTGTGGCTGTGGTGGTGAGAACTCAACTCTGGATCCATATGTATTACTCTGGATCCAGAGTAATACAAATAATACCGGCCTGACATGAAATCCCGTGAGGATCTTTAAGCAACAGGCCTTTCCTACTTTCTTACCCTTATAGTTTGGGTTTTAACCTCAGTCTGCCTTCTTGGTGTTTTTTCTTGACCTCAGCCTCTCTCTACTCTTTGTAGACATAAATGAATGCACAGATTTTGTAGATGTCCCTTGTAGACATTTCAGCAACAATTTCACTGAGTGATTACTTCTGCTCCTGCCCCGGAATATTTCTCATGATGGCATGAAGAATTGTGGAGAGTGAGCTTAGTGTTAAGAGGGTTGCATATTCTCACGGTTGAATGGCTAAGGCCCCAGAAAGGGCTTTGTCCTGCCCAACTTCGATTAGGCCAACTTCTTCAGTGTGGCAGTTATTCCTTTTTTATTTTTAAATTTGCTTATTTATTTATGTATTATTTTAAGAATTTCAATGGTTTGGGGGTACTGGTGGTTTTGGTTATGGATGAGCTCTTTATTGGTCAGACTGAGATTTTATTTACTGTTACCCGAGCAGTGTACACTATACCCAATGTGCAGTTTTCTCATCCCACTTCCAACCGCCCCCAATGCACAGTCCACAGAATGTTCGAATCACTCAGTGTTGGCATCTATTCTTAGTTAGTGTAGCTGAGATGAAGCCACAAGAGGAGGAAGATAAGACTGAGGTAAAGGATTAG